TTCCCCTGGTTGGGGGAAGTAGGGACAACTCTGCTCAGAAGAGCTGCTGCAAATTTATTAGGTTGGTGCACAAGTAATTGCGGTTTTTATCATTTTTAAAAAAGGCAAAAACTGCGATTATTTTTGCACCAACCTAATACTTCAGGGTAGGAAATTCAGAACACAGAAAGATCGTATGCAGCTAGCCACTACAGCCCACAATAATCCCACACTCTTTTCTATCAACAAAACCTATTCAAAAAGGGACAAGGATCCAGGACACTGCTCTTCCATGGTACAGCCATGTTTTCCTGCCAGTCAGAGGAGGCTCTGCATTGATCAAGTTAAAGTTCATTCTGTGACTTAACTACAAGTCAAACTGGGCAGACTTACTCCACACCTGGCAAGTATCCTGAGGCCCTTGTTACTGCTTAACTGAATTATATCCATGTTCTTTGGGAATGGCCTCTCAGGCTTCCATGGATGACGAAAAGAACAAACACTTATTGGGTGTCCATTATATGCCAGGACAGCTCACAACACTGTATATACCCTCTCAGTCACTGCTGAGCACCAAACTGCGAGCCAGGTAACATATACATTACACAATTAAGAGTATTATGATACACGTGGGAAAACCAAGACACAGAAATGTCAAAGAACTTTGCTAATAACCAACATCGAGTAAATGAGAGTCAGGATTACAATCTAGCTCTGTATGTCTATGAAGCTTGAGTATGGAAGCCAAATATTCAGATAACCAGTTAATACAAAGGTAGATAGATTCTGCTCAAATTTTGGACACATAATTTAAGTCCGATTTTGAAAGTATAGTTTAGAAGAATGATGCTATAGAATATCACCAACTTATCAATATACAGATAACACACAATGTGATTTAATTGTACACAATGTGATTTAAGCAAAAACAACGAGGCTTTTGCTTAAATCATGTTCCCTGAAATATGCTTACTTCCTCCAACGGAAGCCTGATATAACTTGAATGGTTGGCAATTTTTTCATGACTCAAGGATTAGAGTTATTATTTTTTATCTTAATTACAAAAAAATTTTTTTTACTCTCAGTTCCTTCCTGTAAAAATTTTAGTCTTTAGGGTTTGAATCCTTTTGGTTAAGTTTAGACGATCTCCCTGAACAGAATAGAAACATAATCTATTTACTTTTTGAGATTTATGAATGTTTTCTGTAGAGGCTTGTGAGTATAGCAACCTAGTTAGAACAACAAATATAGTAAAGTACTTATATGTACTACTTTAAATCTTAGAATCCAGTGAAATCTGTAGCCTCATCTCAATATTTCTTTTTTTATTTAATTCACTATAAGGTAATGGGCTTTTCCCTCCCTTTCTGTGCTCTCTGATATATTCAGAAATTTTTGAATCATTCTAAATATCACAATTTCTGATATTAAAATATTTTAAACCCTTCGTTTTATTAGTAATGACAATTCCTATTTGGCCAAGTGCTTATGAATTCAGATTTGTGATCATGTAATCAGTATTGAAATCTGTATAGAGTAATATCACAAAGTTCTACACTTAGGTAGACGTCAATCCCCTTACTACAATTCACGTTTTGGGACATGGGGCAAATTACCTACACTCACTGAGCCTCAATTTCCTCATCTGGAAAATAGTGATATCTGACAATATTGTAGTGATTAAAGGAGATGATGTATGTCAAGGTGCTTAGACAGAGCTTGGCACTTGCAATTTCCCAACAAACGCTACTTATAACAATGATTAAAAAAATAACAATAGTAATAATAAATGATTTATTGAATACTTACTATGTAACCACAATTGTGACCAAGAATCTGGAAGATATGAAGCATAAGACTCAGTTCCAGCACTCAAAGTGCTTATATACTATAAGGAACAAATAATAGTATCATAATGAACACAGAATTTGGCTTATGAGAGGTAGGGGATGAGGTCTGGACTTTGCCCCTTACTAAAATTGGGTGTAACTGTTAGGAACTGTACTTGGCTGTTGATTAAAAAAAAAAAAAAAAAGACTAAAAATAAGTCATTTAAACAATACATGATTGCAGGCTGTGAAAGATGCTAAAGCAAAAGCTAAGCTGTGCCCAAATTACTGACCCACAGAAACTGAAGTAATACATGGGTATTGTTATAAACCACTAAACATTGGGGTAATCTGTTAACAACAATCGATTAATATATGTGGCTCATCATGTTGTTGTATACAATTGTAATTCCTTCATTCTCATTACTTTATAGGAGGGTTTGGAAAGCTTTTTTTTTTTTTTTTCCCTGTAAAGGATCAGGTAGGAAATATTTGAGGCTTTGTAGGACAAGAGGCAAAATTGAGGATATTATGTAAGTATGTCTATATAATTTCCAGGTTTTGAAAATTATACCTTTTTGTATTTTCCCAACCATTTAAAAACATAAAAATCATACTTAGCTGGTGAGCCATAAAAAATAAATGTCTCATTGCTCTTAGTTTGTTGACCCCTGATATATGGAATTATTTGTTTATACCAGAGTTCATCTCTCCAATCTGTTGTTGATAAATATTTGAATTGTTTTCCATTTGGGAAACATTAAAATAATACAGCCACAAACATTCTTGCACATGTCTTTTGGAGAACATGTGTATGCATATTTGTTTGGTGTAAACCTAGGAGTAGAACTACTGGGTCACAGCATACGCATATATTCAGCTCAATGTTTCAGATGGTTTTCCAAAGTGGTTTTGTGAATTTGCACACCACCAGCAATATATGAGTCTTTACTGCTTCACAATCTTGCCAAGAGTTGGTATTTTGTGTCTTTTTCTTTCAAACATTCTCGTGACAAATGTAATTTTTTTCTTTAGCACTTCCCAGGTGATTCTAACATTCAGCCAGAATTGAAAACCTCTGCACAACTATTGTTTATCCCTTATTAGGCAGAACCACATGAAACTGCTCTATTTGTAGGTTTTAAAAATGTTCAAACATTGGCTATTTCATATGGTTGAAACTAACATCTCCTTCACATTTTATTTATACTAAAAATAAAACTCGTCTAGAATGCACATCACTGGGAAAAATATTAAAGAGTTGAGCTAAGATGAAGTTTTAAAATTAACAACAGATTTCAGTGACTTTTATATTTTAATATCACCCACATATTTAAAAGCTTGGAAACAGACCAATGGTTTTCATCCTCAATGAAGACTGGAATCACCTCTAGGTTTTTAAAACCTAAGTGCCTCTACCCAAACCCCCATAAGCCCTGATTCTGTGAGACTAAGATAAAGCTTAGGAATATTTATAAAAGGCTGATGCACAGCCAAGGTTGAGAACCATTGATACTACCTGTCCTATGGTTTTCGTTTATATTCATTCAGTCTAAGAAAATACTTAATGCTTTGGTGATTTTATATACATAAAGTAGGTAAGCACCTGGATTTCAGTTCTTTCCAGGTTTTAGAATGCTTGGCTGTGTATAAGGTTGGAAAATTCTTTTTCTCATGGAAATTATGTCTCACTGAATGGGTCTCTCTCTACTGTACCTAAAAGGGAGGCTTAGCTTTGACTTCTACACAGCTCCATGGACTCAGAATTAAAGTATCAACAAGAGCATTTAATGGTTATACGCAGGTATTCTTTAACACGCCTATACACATGTTATTATTATATATTACCCAATAGGAGGACTAGGCATGTAATTAGTGACCAGAACAACAGGTGTGCATGTATACACTCAGAAACAAAATTGTTTTGAGATTTTTTTTTTTTTTTTTTTTTTGCTAATGACCAAGACAGACAAAAATGTCTAAGTAGTCATCACGGGAAGAATCCGATTTTTGCACTTCCTTATTTTACAGAGATTAACATTATATATGGGTGACTGGGTGGATGTGATACCAAATGCATTTCCAAACTGAAGGCCTTTAAAAGTCAATCCAGTCTTGAGCCAGATTTATTCCTGAGGCTATTCCCTTACCCTTTACAGCCACAACTGTACCCGTATTTTCATATGCAGGAAAAAATGTTTAGAAACTTAGTTTTTACCAGCTGTCGAATTGTATTGCTATCCACGTGATTCCCCTTATCCTGTCTGCTTATATCATCCCCAGCACCTACAGCTAGAACGTAGTTTTCAGAAGTTGAAGGAAGGTGATTCTCAGGCACTGTTAATTATTAGGCCCTATCAAAGGCTGTCAGCAGGCTCCAAGGCTAGCCAAATTGAAAGCCACCTATCCTGGAAGCCAGGCAGGCTTTCATCTGACCTCCTCTGGTACAATCCTGGTTCCGACTCTGTTCCTAACAACCCCTTGGGGATGTTGCCTATTGGGGTTTAAGCCACTCCTCCTCCCCTACACCCCCATGCCAAGTATTTAGCCACCTGAACCACCCTGTAGGATCAGAAGACGGCTGTATCAACCGGCGGAATTCCCCCACAAAACCCATACATCTCAGGGTGCGAAGGAACAAGTTTCAACCTCAGCCTGGGCAGCGCTCTCTGGCCCAGGTGGAGAACCACAGGCGGACAGTGGTTCTGCTCTCCCTACTAAATGGTGGTTCAGGAGGTCAGGGGGCGGTACCTGCGGCAGAGGCCCGCGGACGAGCTCGGGGGAGCTCATCACACTGCTGACCGGCACCTGCCCACCTCACCACACCTGCTACGTGCCAATCCCCTTGTAATGGACAGGGACGGGCTCAATCACGGGTCCCTACTCTTAGCACCGAAGCTATCTCAGCGCACGGCCTCCTGGGAGATGTAGTCCACACCGCTTCCCGGGACCCCCCCCCCCGCCCCTCCATCCCACACCCCAGGCGTCCTGGGTCCCCTCACAACTTCCCCAGGAGAGATTACTCGGTCTGGTCAGCTGAAGCTGGAGCTGCTGTCCGAGTGTGGGGGCAGGCGGCGCCTCCGCGTTGGAGTCGGGGTGCTCTCCCGAGTCCAAGTGAAGGGAGGGAACTACACTTCCCAGGATGCCCTGCGCGCGCCAAGCCCGGAGCCGGCTGCCTCGCTTTGCGTGACCGCGGCAGGTTGGTCCTGGAGCAGATAAGCTCAGAATATTTAGGCGAAAGCGAGAGGAGGGGGGGAGCGCGGGGCAGGAGGAGTACCTCGGCCAAGAAAATTATGCATGCGTTAGGGAAGCTCTGAGAGAATGGCTGTGGAAGGTAAGGGACGCTTGGGGCATTTTTAAGCTCCTTCTTAACCCGCGCACCCCAAGCCACACATCCCCGATGAAGCTTGGCGATCGTGGGGAGGCGAGGAAAGGGGGTGGCGGAGAGCGGGCCCCTTCCGCCTTCACCTCTTGGCACTCACCTGCGCCGCCAAGGCCAGTAGGCGCTTTAATTCAGTTGCTTTGGAGAGACGTGAAGGGTAGGTGCGCAAGACTTTGAGGTAGGAGGTGTGGAGACGAGTGTCTCTGATGCGAAACGATATCCTGGAAATGGGGGGAAAGCCGGAGGATCCGGCATGAGGTTTGGCCCCGAGATGCCCTTTTTCCCTGCCCCTTCCCTCCGGAGCGGGCTGGGTGGCCCCAGGGCTGGGGATGCTTGGTTGGCCCCCTCACGTGGGAGAGGTCCCCGGCCCAGGTGCGTCATCCGGAAGCTTGGACTGGGATTGGGTCGAGGGCCCTTCGTCCTGTGCACCCAGCAGCGGCGGCCGCAGATGTATCCAGAGGGTAGAGGTGTCCCTACACCTGTCTCTGCTTATACAGCCAGCGCCCCGGGCTTAGCAAAGTTTACAGACATGAAATGTAATCAGCCAGGGAAAAGAAGTGCAACAACCTCTTCGATTTGGGTGAATCCTTTTCTTTGAAGACCACTTTCTTCTTACAGTCTTGAGCTTCGACTTTGCAGTTTTGACCGTACAGTCCTGCCTCCCTTGAACTTCCTGGTTGAAAGCAGGGTGGGGCTGTTCGTGAGGGATCCTGAGTTTTTCATTTCCGATTCTCTTACCTTGGAACACAAACTTCCTTGTTTAGGGTAGTTTCTGAAGAAGAAAAAAAGATTGTGGACCAGAAGCGTTTGTGATGTCACATTAGAGGTCAAGCTGTACCTAAATGATGAAATGATTGTGGGACAAAATGGGAGCCTGCATTCACCTACAGAATTTTGGTTTCTGAGTGCGGTCAGGTCAGAGGGGGTACTGAGGTAGGGAGAGGAGGCATGCTTGCCAGCTGCTTCAGGCGCCTTGCCAAGGGGAAATGAGCCTATTCCTTGTAGGCTAGAGACCAGAAGGAACCACAAGGGCTGGCTTGCTCCTCCCTCTGCTCCCTGCCCCAAGAGAAAGAAACTGAACTAATCTGACTCTTGCTCCCCTTATAACGACTGTCTTAAGAACCCGAAGTAGCAACAACCCAGCTTCTACACTCAGCGCCCATAAACTCGGGAAACTCTTGCCTTTGGGCTATCTCAGGTTCAGAGATCCTCAGCCAGCCACTTCCAGCTTTCCTAACTTTATTCACAAAAATGAAGTCCTCTCTCTTACAACCAAGATTTTTCTAGGTTTTCTTGTCGGTGCAAATGTACCAGTAGGGTGAGAATCTCTCTCTCTCTCTTTTTTTTTTTTTTGTATCGTTATGATTGATAGTGAGTCAAGACTTAAGATGCCAAAAAAACACAACAAAAGCAGAGATAAAGTTCATCTTGAGCTTGAGACCAAGGATACGTTGACGTACTCCTTAAATATCCCTTCTACGTCACCCATCAGGTGGCACTGATTATGATCTCTCCTCTTCACCACTCCTGTGTCCCCAAGACAGGGACACTCCCCCTTGTTGCTAGTCCACACTGTTCTCGAAAACAATTTCTTGTCCACTGTAAGAAGTATAAATTCGTGTTATTTCTTGCCTGATGGGTGATTATACCAGTGAAGCCAGACTTTACAAAAACAAGAACTCAGGAAGGAAGTACATGTGGACTATGGAGAGTTTATTTTCCAGTGACTTATTTGGTTAAAGTACCTGTCTAGTAAACAGGAGATCCTGAGTTTGAATCACAGTGAGGTCTCAAAGAATGAAGGAAGTATTTTTAACTTTAACTGCAAATATGATTCTTATCTTTTGTCTTTGCAAAGAGGTCAGCCTGGACCAGTCTCTTCCTGGTTACTCCTACTTTGTCTTTCAAGCCTCAGGGGAAATGTCACTTGCTCTGGGAACCTGTCCCAGCCCTCCTTTCTCTTCTGCCTTCTCAGCACTCTTTCCAGTCTATGGGAGGTGCCTCCTGTTCACATTTATCTTAACACTTATCATACTTAATCTACCTCTTACTAAACTCTAACCCCCTTGCGGGTTAGACTTGGACTTTATATTCCCAGCTTATAGCACAGTACTTGGCCCATAATAGGTACTCAATGCTCATTCATTGCATGGCAAATATATTCATGGAGGTTTTGTAACTGGTTCTATAAGGGTACATGGGGCTTTCTTGGAAGCCTAAATGCCATACAATCAGGGACTTCTGACAGATTTGAAGACGGGAGGTTTTTTTGTTTTTGTTTTTTTTTTTTTTTTTTGAGATGGTGTTTTGCTCTGTCACCCAGGCTAGAGTGCAGTGGCATGATCTCGGTTCACTGCAAGCTCCGCCTCCTGGGTTCACCCCAATCTCCTGCCTCAGCCTCCCGAGTAGCTGGGACTACAGGCGCCTGCCACCACGCCCGGCTAATTTTTTTGCATTTTTAGTAGAGACGGGGTTTCACCGTGTTAGCCAGGATGGTCTCGGTCTCTTGACCTCGTGATCCGCCCACCTTGAAGTGCCCTTCTCTTCAGTCTTTTGTCTTGATGCCCAAAAAATCTTTTAGAGCAGTAGTTTACATCTACTGCTGAGTGACATCGTCTCTGGGCACATTTGGGATATGTAGGAACTGCTGCTGGGGGCTGCTATTGGTATTTTGTGCCCATGGCCAGAGATAATCATGGCCTGCAGTGCATGGCCTTCCCATATCATGTTGCCAAGCCATGGTCAAGCAATGACCAGTTTACCCAACTCATTGAGAAATGCTGCTTCAGAGAATAAGGAGTTTTGCCAGAGGAACTGGAATAGAAAATACAGTTTGAATTACTTAACATCTAAGCTTTAGTCTCCACATCTGGAAAAAATGGGCTCACTACTTGTTACCTTCTGGGCACATTGTGAGGATTAAATAAAGGAGGGGGCTTCTGGAAGGGTGTCTGGAACCTGTATCCTAAGTAAATATCACTCGTACTCACATCCCTTCTCTTAAGAAAAGCTATACTAATTGGCATGTGTTTTATATCCTGAATTTTCACTTATTCATGCCAGCCAGTTTTTCTAATTAGTAACAAATTAGAAGGTTTTTTTACTATGTGTAACATTTTTCTTAAGTAAACTTGAACTTGAATTTGTAAAAGTGTTAATAGCAAGTAGTTCTCTCATTCATTTTGCTGAACCTGCAGCTGTGTGTTTAAGATGAAAAAGAGGTGCCCTTTGTTTATTGTTTTGTAACTACCCTGGGTTATGTTTTCTTCTTAGTTTAATTGCAACGTCCTATCTATGTCTCCTAGTCTGGTTGCGACCCATGCTTTGCATTTATGGGCAGCTTACAAGTGTGCTTTCCAGCCACAGAACAGGGTACGATCTTATGGTCTGCATTTGGATTAGGATTATACTGGCATCCATTGTCTTTTTTAAAAAACAAAAACAAAAGCAGTGTCTTGTGAAACAAATTAGCAGGACTAGGGACTAGGACCTCTTGGAAGGAGGTAGCAGGGACCCCAAACTATTCCATTCTCTATGGACAGACTATGTATAGATGGTTGCGCCTATTGATGTTTTCTAACGGAAGTGGGTTGCAGTATTATTCAGGGAGAAGAAAAATGTGGATTCATTGGGGACAGTGTTGTATTCATCTTTGTATTCATCTCTGTATTCCAGGGATGGTGCCTGGCACTTAGGAGGCCCACAGTCATTTGTTTCATGAATGACATACAAATGCACGAGTCCCTAGATCTAGAGAAGGGTTTTTTACCCCTCATCCCCAATTCCTTTTCTTGCTTCATCCTCAGAGATTTATGAAAAAAGTAGGGAGGATGGACATTGTACATGGTAATTTCTATTCCAGGTCTAACAGAATAGCACCTCTCACATGGCAGAAAAATGATTTCCAATATTCAGCACTCACCTCTCTCCCTAAGAAAAACATGTCAAATGCAAGACTATATGCTCTTAATGACATCTGTATTAAGAAATCTGAATTTTCCATCAGTGAACACATTAGCTTACCAAATATCTTCTGATAAGTCATTCAGTGCTCAGGTTCTATGTTTTTTATCCTGTAGGAGAGTGCAGAAACTACCCATCACCAAAATATTGTAAGGCTAAGTAATAATAACAGTGACTGGGAAAATGGGAAGTGAGATCGCGTCAAACACTTGTGACAAATAGAAGCAGTCATGGTAAACACCGGGCTTTGCAGCCCCATAAATGATGACTTTGTACCCAACTTGAATTCAGAACTGCATCACAGAGAGTAAAAGGAGTCACATGGGAGATAAAAACATCATTTTTATCACAAGGGTATAGTGGGTAATTTTTTCTGACTTTGGGTTGGAGAGTAAGTGGGCTTGCTAATATAATACTCAGCAGTGAACTGACCCATCACAGGGATGCCTCCCTCTACACTAGTGGCCCTTAACCTTTTTGGCACCAGGGATAAGATTTATGGCAGACAGTTTTTCCATGGGGGATGGTTTTGGGATGAAACTGTTCCACCTCAGATCATCAGGTATTAGATTCTCATAAAAAATGTGCAACCTAGATCTCTCGCATGTGCAATTCACAGTAGGGTTTTCACTCCTCTGAGAATGTAATGCCTCCGCTGATCTGACAGGAGGTAGAGCTCAGGCGGCAATGCTTGCTTGCTCACTGCTCACCTGCGACTGTGTGGCGCAGTTCCTAAATAGGCCATGGACTGATACCAGTTCACCACCCAGGGGTTGGAGACCCCTGTTCTATACCACTGACAGCTGGAGAGCAGAGATAACTTGGGCTCCTGCAGCAGGCAGGTGGGACCCAAAGGAAGGGGTGGGGGCCTATGCTTTGTGCCTTTTCACAGACTTGCTCATCAGAGAGTTGACTTCTCCTCTCCTGAGGAGGACCCAGAGGGTGAAGAGGGAGACCAGAAGTGTAATTCTGATGGATTTCCCTTCATA